GGATTTCAATGGTGGCTTTTATTTACAAGGGGGGTAAATACTCGCCGAGATATTTATATTAGAAAAATTGTGTCGTAATCTGATGCGAAAGGGGGTGGTCGAGAAATTAACAATATTTTGCTTCTGACTTCTTCCTAGTATCTCATTAACTGTTTTGCACGCATATTTTGGGTTCGTTTTGTTATTGAGGAATTTTGTTGCATAGTATTCCCTTTCAGCATTTCGCAAGGCAATATTTGTAGCATTTCGAGATGACTTGTACAGCTACCAATCATTTTCATTATTGGTTTTTATTGCTAATCGCTTAAAGTGGTCTCTCTGTGTAATGTAAATATAACACTTTCTCCTCAATTATTTAAAGACCTTGACTAAAGCTACGACCAAGGATTACCTTTGAATTTTGGCTTCACAGGGGAACATTTTCCTAGAAACCCGCCCCCCCCCCGCAGGCGGCCATTTTTCATAGAGAATTTGGCCCCCAGTTTAGGCTTGAACAATTATAGACATAATTCATGAAACATATCTTACAAATTCATATGAATTGTCATGGGACCAATCAATATCAAAGTTGTGCATGGTACAAAAGGGTCTGGTAAGGTATACGTCGTCCTTCGATGACCTGTAAGCTCGAAAATGATCAAACATAAGTGTAAACAAGCCGAAGCGTAATTCGGAAATCTCCGAGAATTAGTCAATCTAGCCTGCAAAGCGGTGCTCGTCAGGTGATGGCAACGTATTTCAAACAAAAATGCACTCGAAGTACAGTAGGTAGCGTACCCTGCATGGCCTTAATTCAGATAACGTTTTCAATCAATTCTCTTTTTGTTACCGAGTTTTGCCCACCCACCATATGCAATCTCACTTCTACACTTTCGTGAAAGGGCCTGATGTAAATAATTAGCTACATGGTAATTACATCTAAAACTAGGTGTCAATACCTGTCTTTCTGTACTCGTTTGATATAAACGCCATTTCATCGAGTCAATAACCATGACTTTTAATATAATGATAAAAATTTAGTAATGAAAATGCAGTAATAAAATATATTGTGAGTGAACTGTTATTGGTGACCAACCTATATGAACAGGCTTTGTGACTGGTTGATCATGACAATAAGAGACAATAAACTATAAAAATTACCTTTTTAAAGAACGAGTTATAAATACTGATCACCATTGCTTTATGAAGCCAATCACAAAAACAATCATTCCAGGTTAGTATTTACAATTTTTAAATTGCTTAAAAGCATTATATGTTCATTATCCAAATATCTATATGGTGACGCCCTCAATAAGATTAACTGAGTACAAACATTTTAACTGCATGACAATTGAAAAATATATCTTACTGGCAGCTGATAACTGATATAAAAGCTCCTCATTCCGACTCTCTAAGGTACTTCTTCGTACACAGATTCGTCAGGAAATTCGTTTCTTAAATTGTTATCAATGTTCATTGAAGCATACCGCTGAACATTTTCATTGTGATCTCTACCAAGTTGCACGTGGTCTCTTGTTTGCAAACTTTGATAGTTGGCATCTATGGGAACTCTCATGGAACTGTCCAGTTGTGCATATTGTGCTGGTTCTTCATAATCTCTATGAGCTTGAGGTATCTCTGGAAGACTTCTGTCTGTTTGGGTGTCACCTTCATAAGCAGCATTTTGAATGTTACCAGTGTCTTGCGTGTTCTCATTTTGTGGTTTTCGTCGATATAGAAGACAAGCAACGATCAAGATTACCGTTATTAAAACAACCACCGCTGCCACCACGGCTCCAATAATCACTCCAGTGTTAGAGTTTGATGAAGACGTTGGATTGGATAAACCTGGATCAGGCATTTATAAAAAATAGAATCATTTCCATGGGTTGTTTTGGTTTAATAAATTCGTTTAATACTTATTTAAAGTACTCAAGCGTTGATTTTGCATGGCCGAGAATCATCACGGGAAATTTCCCGTCTCTCAGCTTTGATTTTAGCATAAACGACACAATTTTTACGTAAACGACACAATTTTTTCATTTATAAAGATGTGCAAAAAGGTTTACCAAACAAATTAAGTAACCGAAATGCGAAAATGAAATTTTCAGTGAAAATGGAGGAGAACTTGTCTTGACGAGCACAGGCCATCCAACTGATTAAGTTGATGTATATTGATTTAATGAGATTTTGTTAATTAATGAATAATGGACATAATAATGGCTTCCCCTGTGTTTCTATTTAAGAAACAGAAAACATTTTCCGTGTTTTTATAGAGTTATAGAAACCAGAGGCCGCGGAATCATTTCGAAAGCGGAGGGGCATTGGCCAACAGGGGTACTTTTGTATATGACCAAAATCAAACGATTTTATGTCCTTCACGAGCCAAACTAAAACTTTTGAAAATATGGAATATCTAAAACGCTGGAAATGGCCTTTACAGAGTCTTTACTACTACAAAAAGGGCACTTTCGTTCCAGCAAAAGAGGGCGTTCATTCACTTTTTTCGTTCTTTAAATGGGGACTTCAGTCCAGAAAAAAGAGCAATTTTTTCACTTTTAAAAATGTGGGGGGGGCACATGTGCCCCCCCCCCCCAGGTGCCTCGGCCCCTGATAGAAACACTTTGTAGTTTATGGAAAACTTGAAATACAGTAACGTAGAATGCCTCGTTATCCGCCATTTTTCTCTCGTTTATAGAAACTCCCATCAATTTTATTGTTTTATTAAAATTATTTAAACACGGTAGCCATTCAGCATTCGCTGGTTTTCAATGGGCCGTGTACACAGTAAAAATTTACAATAATAATTATGAAGCCTAACTACTCATCAGCTTCACACTACTCATGCAGTCACTAATACAACGAGGTATACTAATTATCTATCTCCATGCGCGTTTCTCTAATTACTGCAAAATTACACGGAATGTTTTCTGTTTCTTAAATATCAGTTTGTTTGCGATGCTGCAAAACAGTCTAGGCCAGTGTGTTGATTGGGGAGATTAGATTTGGAAAAACACAACCATGACGCTCATGACAACCTCGTGAACTTTATTCAATGATATTGTTATGTGATATCAGGTAGGGAAACAAACACTCTTAAGTTAGCCAAACACTGGACAGTCTACATAGTACACATTGTAAATAGGCAATTCCAGCTTTTAATTTATGCGCGTAGGGGATGGGGGATGGGGGTAGGAAGTAACCTATACATATTGCTGAATATGCTGAAAAATAAAATGGCGGCCGTGTAAACACGGCGTGATAGTTTATACTTATAAATATTGAAGTATTTCGGTTTTTTAATGTATGGTACCTCAACGAAGGATTCTCAAGTAACTTGGACAAGAAACTTAACTGGTAGTGGTTTTCCTAATTTTACCCAAGAAATTTTGGAAAAACAGGTCATACTTAAATCGAGCGTGGCTGAGGAGCAACACGGCACAAAAAGCTTGGATATCAGTTGTTCAAGTCAGGATATGTGAATGGTATTGTAGTAAAACCAGATATAAAGATGGGCGATAATTCATGGTTTATGTACATATCTTGCAGAGTTCAGGAAATGTTTCTCATGCAAAGTGTCAATGTCCGGCAGGAAAGGAAGATGTTTGTAAACATGTTACAGCAGTTCTGTTTCAAATATTGTAATTTAAAGAACTTGAGCTGTCTGAAGTCCCTGATGATATATCTTACCGAGAAACTGCAAAAGTGGAATGTATACCTGCGACTGGGAACGAAATGAAGAAAACGACCTCTTGTCAAAGGCAAACGGAAAGAATATAAAGCAGCACCTACTGTAGCTTTGCTGAAAAAGTTTTAATTTGAATGAATGAATGAACAACTTTATTTAAAGACGATAAAATCACATGACAGCAATATAACTGAAAAACCTGTGACCCTCATATACAATACATACAAAGTTATTAATTCTACTTTAAAACATCTAAAAGCTACTTAGAGTAAATATGTAAAAGATCTTAGGATTATAAATTTATATATACAAATTATATACAGTACAACTTGCTGATCACAATAATAATTCAAAGCGATCAATGCCCTTATAAGATTCTAAGAAGTATTTTTTAAGGGCAAACATAAAAGAATTAACGCTAGGTGTCGTCTTAATTTCTTTCGGGAGATTGTTCCATATTTTAATGCTGCTGACCGTTACAGATTTTCCTCCCTCAGTTGCATAATTATATTAAGGACACACTAAATTATATTCGCCATGACGAGTTTGTCTACCATTAATTTCATTGTTTGTTTTAAATAAGTTCTTATTATACTGCGGAGCTAGATCATGCAGGCTCTTGTAAACTAAAGTGCATTTGTTAATTTTAACTTCGTCATAAAAAGGTACCCAGTTCAGTTTGTTGAAATTGGCTATTGACTTGGAGGAAGTGTCAGTTCCTAAAATTACCCGAGCTGCTCTTTTTTGTAATTTAAAAATTCTAAGCAGATCATTTCGCGAGCAGCAACTCCAAATAGAACTACCATACATCATAACTGGCTTGACGACAGCGTTGTAAAATAGCTTTCTCTCAAGTAGTGGTAAGTATCTTCGTATCTTTCTCAGCAGGCCGATCTTTTTACTAAGGTTTTTACTAAGTTTGTTTATATGCTCTTTGAAAGTTAAGTCTTCATCAATGATTACACCAAGTAATTTCTGCGAAGAAACCAGTTCAATATTTGAATCACTTGCTGTAAGAGGTAAGAAAGATAATTGCATTCGGGATTTAAAGCGTTTACCAGTAATAAGAATTGATTTGGTTTTGTCAGCATTTAGTACCATTCTATTTTTGTCTGACCAC